GCAGGTCTCGAACCCACGGGCTCAGGCAATCCACTCACCTCAGCCTCCCAAAGCGCGGGATTGCAGGCTGAGCCACCGAGCCCGGCTAGATTTATTTAATAAATATTTTTCAAGAGTTTTATCCACAGGGTCTGGACAGTGTGTCTCTTGTTTTCTCTCTCCTTCCTAATCATAAACACCTTCCTGGGTGTCTTATGTTTAATATTGTCACTTAACTATTCCCTCCTCAGGCAGACACTTCCCATGCTTGTTAAACGAGTAACAGCTGCATGAAAATGTCCACTGCGGAATTTTCTAGAAAAACAAAACATTACTGGCAGATCATGTGTCTCTTCTTGGCTTTCCCGTACATTATTCAAGGTGGAGTCCAGCCAGACCTGGAGAAAGTAAGCCCTGCGGGTGCCAGGGCTCTGTCCACTGTCCCAAACCAAGGCCCGCTGCTCATGGCCGTGGCACTGGGGAGAAACACTCACCTCTCGGGGAGCTTGGGCCCGCCCAGGAAGGCGCCACACAGCCTCTTCACATAGCTCATGTCCACATTGAGGAAGTTGTGTCCGGCCTGGAAGACAGTCACCCATTGGCACAGGGGTTCTGGGAGTGGGGGGCGCTGGGCCTGCTGCCCACGACCCAGGCCCGACTCAGGAGAGGCCGGGGGTCCCACCCCACTCAGGGGAAGCCTGGGGCAGGGGAGGGTGGGAGGAGCAGTCTGGAGTGCCACCCCGGCCGAGTCCAGCTCTCAGGCCAGTGGGGGTCTGACGGCTGTCAAGAAACCTTCCTCTCCCTTCCACACAGCTCATTCCTCGCCCCTTGGTTCCTGCTGTCCACACACCAGGGCTGGACAGAAACCAAGCGGGGCAGGACTGAGGGACCGTCACACCTGCCACAGCGGGGCTTCCCAGCGCCTGCCGACGGACGCATCCCCCGCCCGCACTGCCATGCGCACACACCCACGCAGAACACGGGGCAGGGAGGCGGCCTGGCCCTGAGCTGACTCTGGGTCAGGGCCTTTTAAATCTTTTTCTTTTCTTTTTTTAGAGACGGGGTCTTGCCTCGTCCAGGCTGAAGTGCAGTGACCCAATCACAGCTCGCTGCAGCCTCCAATTCCTGAGCTCTAGTGCTCCCCTTGCCTCAGCCTCCCCAGAAGCTGGGACGATAAGCAGGCACCCCCACACCCAGCTAATTTTTTGCAGAGACAAGGGTCTTGCTGTGTGGCCCAGACAGGCCCCGAACTCCTCGTCTCAAGCCATCTTCCAGCTTTACTGCCAGAACAGAAGGTCCTGGGGACCACAGCTGGCACCACCTCCTGTCCCTGGAGTCAGCATGCATCGAGCGGACCGACCCAGGACGCACCTGCCACGTGGTGTTCTGCTTGTTGATGTAGTTGACCAGCTCGTCTGACAGGGGGTAGAAGTAGGGCCTGTTCCGGGCGCTGGCCAGCGCCAGCAGGCAGCAGAGGGAGGCCAAGAGTCGCCACATGTTGGAAGCCGGACCTGGATCCACCTGGAAGGACAGAAGATGTCAGGATGCTGCTCGTCACTCGGGGGTCGAGTGCTCAACACACAGGGCGGCGTCTTGGGCGCTGACAGGCCACGTCCCGGTCCTGGCACAGGCAGACAGCCCTCAAGGCCTACAGTGCTCACAGGCTCCAGCCTTGTTCCGAAGTCCCAACTTGCGCCTGTGGCACACGTGACCTCGTGCGAACCCCCTCGAGCAGGTGGCTGGAGCCAGGAGAGGGAAGGGCAAGGGGCTGTGCTGGACTAAACTGAGTCCAGGGTCCTTGCTGCTATTTCAATTTTTTTTTTTTTTTG